GTATATATGTATGTATGTATATATGTATGTATATATATATGTATGTATATATATATATGTATGTATATATGTATGTATGTATATATGTATGTATATATGTATGTATGTATATATGTATGTATGTATATATGTATGTATATATGTATGTATGTATATATGTATGTATGTATATATATGTATGTATGTATATATATGTGTGTATATATATATATGTATGTATATATATATATGTATGTATGTATATATATATATGTATGTATATATATATATGTATGTATGTATGTATGTGTATATATATATGTATGTATGTATATATGTATATATATATGTATATGTGTGTATGTATGTATGTATGTATTTATTTATGATCTTTTCTTGAGATGACTTCATAGCGCCAGTAGTGATTTAGTTTTGTTTGTGACATTTGTGCAGGCAGAAATGTGTGTTTAGTCAGCGGGGAGTGCTTAACAGACCGTTCCCCTGTAGGGTTGCGTTGTGCCCACGCTCGTGTGTGCGTTCCAGGGCCTGCTGGCGCTCGAGGGCGAGCTCACGCCCATCCTGGTGCAGATGGTGAAGAGCGCCAACATGAACGGCCTGCTGGACAGTGACAGCGACTCGCTGAGTAGCTGCCAGCAGCGTGTTAAGGCCCGGCTGCATGAGATCCTGCAGAGGGACCGGGACTTCACAGCCGAGGACTACGACAAGGTCCGGGGGCGGCAGTGGGGGGGGAGCTGTAAGGGTTTCTTTTTCTTTCGTTCTTTCGTTCTTTATGTCAGTTTGTTCTTTCTTTATGTCAGTTTGTTCTTTTCATTCATTCATTTTGTGCATTTGTTTGTTTGTTCGTTCGACTATTTATTGGCCATGTTTTCAGGGGCATGGACAGAGGCGAGGCCCCAGGAGTCACTGACTGATTCCAAACATATCACAGGCTAATAAGTTTGGCCCATCTGTATGAATTATGGCCCCTCTTATTGTGATCTTCAGCAGACAGTCAAAAATTATATGGAACTGAGGTCACAACTCGGATAACAATCATAACAATTGGGTTTTATTCTATGGGGTGGGTTTTCAGTCTTACATCTGGGACCACCAGTTGTAAGTGAACTAGAACTAGAGACCCCCAACCAATAATGTGTGATTAACATTGTGAAGTAGCTAAGGGCTTTGGGGGGGGGTTACCTCCTGGAGAACGTCCGGCGTTAAAGTCTCTTTATATCAGGGGTCTCAAACTCCAGTCCTGGAGGGCCGGAGCCCTGCACAGTTTTTGGTTTACCTCCATTAAAAACACCTGATTCAACTACTTATGGTGCGTTCGTTTTTCTCTCGGAACTCGGAAATTCCGAGTTGAGTGACATCACGTCCGACAATCTCCCGTTCGAGCTACCCACATCTCGGAACAAACATGGCTGCCTCCATGAACATGTTGCTGTGTGTTGTTGCTTTATATTTTAGCAGATTTGGAGTTTTCCAAATGAAGAAAATGGAGAAATTTAGATTTTTCCGAGAGACAAACAAGAAACACGAACTAGTCAAACCACATTAAAAGCTTTATAAAATATTTTAGTACATTCATAGCGATATTCTTTTTTCGAACAGTAAATAAACTACAAGCAAACCAAGTCGCCATGTTGAAATTACGTCACAAGGGCAACTCGGGCAACAAAATCTTATCCGACTTCAACGTCATAAAAGGGGCGTGTTTCCGACGGGAAGTGATGTTTTTCGTGACGTATCGTGACGTTTTCATCCGAGTTCCGACTTGGAGAGAAATAATCGAACGCACCATTACCTAATTACCACACAGCTCTTGAGTTGAATCACTCCTGTTGGGACAGGGAAAAAACTAAGCTACACACGGCTCCGGCCCTCCAGGACTGAAGTTTCAGAACCCTGCTTTACATGGAGTGCATTAGTGTGTGGACGATGCATTTTGTGAAGTTTTACAATACTTTCCTACAGACCTTGAGGGGCTTACAGACTCTCTGTTGAAAACCCCCTTTTTTTCTGTACGCATTTTTATATGTTCTGCAGAAAGCCAGCCAAGTAATTATCGGTGGCGACTTCGCAGAATGAACATTGCAAGGGTGGGTGTTTACAGAAATCAGTGCATAAAGACATTGTGTGGGGGAGTTCTCTGTCCCTTATTTCCAGGAAGCCAGACCCCTCGAATACGGCGAAGACTGACTCGCTTCGACGTGAGCCCAGCGTCTCGGGCCCGGCGGTGCCCAGCGTCAGCATGTTTTACATGCCTCATTAAATCACTAACAGCCTCTGTACTGAAAGTGGAGGCTGAAGTGGCTCCATTAAGACGCTTTATTAGTTCAGCTGAGCGTCTAAGTCATTGGAAAGGCTACATACCTGCTGCATAGTGTCCCTGTAGGGCCGGCGTTAGTGAGCGCACGATTACAGCCAGCCTCGGTGAAAACGTCGCGGAATATCCCAGATCTCCGATGTTGGTTCCACGTCTCAATTTAACGTAATTTTGACAAACAATGGGTGCCCTGCAGTAACATCCTTCCAAATAGACCACATTTGGCTAACAAATTACCAAAACTCATTAAAAAAAAATAAAAAAATTTTTTTTTTGTTGTTTTTGAGATGAGACTGCCATTGAGCTTAACTCATTGACCTTCCTCATCAAACTCATAAAACTTTTTTTAAATTTCCCAAACTAACTCCAAAGAAGTTTTTTCAACTATATTCCGTGGACTGAGTGAGTTTTGGAGATGTGTTCCTCATTTGCATTTTCATTTTGTGTGCAGCTCGCCCCGACGAGCAGTGTGTCCCTGGTGAAGTCCATGCAGATGATCAAGAACCCCGTGAAAACCTGCGACAAGGTCTACTCCCTCATCCAGAGCTTGACGCTGCAGATCCGGCAGAGGATGGAAGACCCCAAGTCGGCGGGTAAAGGGGGCCGTGTCACCCGCTGAGCACTGAAGCCCTCCAGCGTTGTCCTTGCCTCCGACCTTTGACTCATGACTCTCCTTCCTCAGATATCCAGCTATACCACAGTGAGACACTGGAGCTCATGCTTCGGCGCTGGGCCAAACTGGAGAAGGACTTCAAGATGAAGAACGGCAGATACAACATCAGCAAGATTCCCGACATTTACGACTGCATTAAATACGACGTACAGCACAACAGCTCTCTGAAACTGGACAACACCATGGAGATTTATCGTCTCTCCAAGGCCCTCGCTGACATCGTCATCCCACAGGTGAACTCAATTTCTGAAAAATTATAAACCGCCCTGGTGGGTGAAATCAGTTCATATGCATTACATCACATTTATTTAACCGACGCTTTCGTCCAATCCGACGTCCAGTTGAAAAAGCAGAGTCAGGCAGTCCAGGACCCAGCGGTAAAATCACAACCACAGGATCTGAACTAGCAAGCCTTCTAATCATGGACACAGCGTCCTAACCCACTGCCACACTCCGCTCCCGTGTGTGTGACCCTCTCCCTCTGTTTTCCAGGAATATGGAATATCGCAGCCAGAGAAGCTCGACATTGCCAAGGGCTACTGCACCCCCCTGATCCGGAAGATCCGGTCCGACCTCCAGAGGACGCAGGATGATGATACTGTCAACAAACTTCACCCTGTGTAAGGGGACAGCGGCCAGTTCTGCGTCGTCTTTAACTGTTTGTTGTTTTTTTGTGAGCACGTGCATCCTTTTTTGTCAAACTATTACGCATAAAGCTGTACAATTTCAGCTTTTTGTCAAGTTCTGGTGAATTTAGTGTAACAAAGTCTCACAGGTAACCTTTCTGCTCTGCAGGTACTCCAGGGGAGTGATGTCTCCGGAACGCCATGTCCGAACCCGATTGTACTTCACGAGCGAAAGTCACGTGCACTCGCTGCTGTCCATCCTGAGATATGGGGCACTCTGTGATGTAAGATGTGCTTTGTGAGAGCGGCAATTAAAACTATATAGGCCAGTTGCTATTTTCAGTCAGCTACAATTAAAGGTGCATTTCTTTCTCAAAAATATGGCTCTTTAGCTTGCTAGCTAATATTTTCAGTTTATTTACTTTGTTTAAAGCTTGCATTAATAAGAATTTTCACTACGCTGTGCATGTAATGCCCTGGTTTATAGAGTGGTCTAAATCAACATTTATTTTTTATTTTTATTATTTTTTTTCCCTCATCCCCCACTCAGCACGTTAATAGCTTGCTACTTTCTGTTTGTATATCAATAAATTAAAATATAGCCAACACTTAACATGGTAGCCAACGCTGCAGACGTGACAGATGGCCGCACAGAAATCTAACTCACGGTCTGGGTTACTTGAGTTCATTGTCGTTTCTTGTGAGAGTTAAAGCTTCCCTGATTAAAATTGCTTGAGCTTTTTAGCGGCTGAGGAAAAAAAATGGCACAGTAATTTGTAAGGCATAATAAAATTAATTATGTTGTTGCCAGGAGACAAAAGATGAGCAGTGGAAGAGGGCAATGGACTACCTGAAAGTTGTTAGTGAGCTGAACTACATGACGCAGATCGTAATCATGCTGTATGAGGACCCAAACAAGGTGTGTTTACAGTCTGTGTTCGATTATTACATAATAGCACAGTAGCATAATAGCTGATCGTGATCATGCCGTATAAGGACCCAAACAAGGTGTGTTTACAGTCTGTGTTCGATTATTACATAATATCACAGTAGCATAACAGCTTATCGTGATCATGCTGTATAAGGACCCAAACAAGGTGGGTTTACAGTCTGTGTTCGATTATTACATAATATCACAGTAGCATAATAGCTGATCGTGATCATGCTGTATAAGGACCCAAACAAGGTGTGTTTATAGTCTATGTTCAACTATTACATAATGGCACAGTAGCATAATAGTCTTGCGTTAGCTGCTAACACCCATGCTCTGTCTCTTACCTCGAGGACCCTTCGTCAGAGGAGCGATTCCACGTCGAGCTGCATTTCAGCCCAGGGGCCAAAGGCTGCGAAGACGACAAAAATCTGCCATCGGGATTCGGCTACAGACCAGCGTCTCGAGAGGTACTGGTTGCCGTGCTTCCCTTTTCATTTTTTGCTTTCAGGCACAGTGCTCTTTACGTATTCTCATTCATCTTCCTCCTCTTCCGTCTCTTGCTTCCTAAATTAGTACCTATGGTAAAATATTAATATTTTTAATTAGCATTGATTTATTATGTAAGAGGGTAACGGGGAGACTAATGCAGAGGATTGACCAGGGCCAGAATGTTCACCCAGCCGTAGGCCAGGTCTTCATGGCATGCAAACCTTGCATCATATTGTTCCGATAAAGGCCATGCATCAGATATGCATCCATTCTTAGCTTATAGGGAAAACTCTTTTACTCCAGCAACTGGTCTATTTGCAAGCTTAGTTTAATTCTTAGTGCTAAAACTTCCAATAGGTTTTTGTTGCTACCTGAGCCCTGGTTACGCTATAATTCTTTACACAAAAACTTCAGTGTGTGTTAGTTAAGATTGGCTGCTGTGTGTAAAATTTAAAAGGTTATCTTAACAAGGAATGGGCCAATCTTACTGCTGTTGCATATTCATGGTTTTGCTTTTGACTGACCTCTGGGTCGAGTGAGACACGGACGGAAATTTCCGCCGCTGGCGCTGTCTGGTTTCACGTACACACTAATGAATGTGTCACTGCTGTGTGGCCAGATGTTGGGTTTAATGGAAACTTCTCGGCACGCAGAACGAGGGCTCGAAGAAGAAATCCCAGAACGACAGCGACGAGGAATCCAGCGCGGTCAAGCGGGACGAGCCGGACCGCGCCCTCATGATGTTCCGGCCCCTGGTTTCCGATCCCATCTACATCCACCGGAAATCTCCTCTGCCTCGCTCCAAAAAGATCGGCTCTGTGGAGGTAAGTGCTTTGCTGGAACAGCGACATCGAGTTTGTTGTGAGGTTTGAGTACAGCCACTATGGGAACTTTCTAGAACAAATGAGATCAGACATTTTGGAGGACAACGTTTTGGCTAAGGTCCCATTAATGTGACTGGGGTAACAAAGAAACCTTTGTTTTTACATTTTTAGATATTTTATCTGTAACGTAATATGTGTTAAATGTTAAATGCTTTGTCTTTAATGTTTATATGTGTAATTTTATGAGTCTGTTCCAATTGTGTGCTTTATGGTTCCTGAGAAGGCCCAGGAATTTCATGTGGATTTTGTGGTCTACTGGACCCCATCCATTATGTACAAGGTTACTGGTTTTAGTGGTGTTGGTCCCAGTACTAACGGGGGGGGGGGGGGAGCTGGGAGACAACGGGTGCCAATTATTCATGAACTCTTGGTAGTCTGCGGAGATGCCAGTACTATGTACTCATTACTACCAGCCCACTTTAAGTACTGGTTGGTACCATGAGAGTAAAATTTTTGTTCATTCAAGTCCCATTTAGGATGTAAATACTTTTATTTCCTAGAACTAATTCTCTAACTGTATGTTCAAATTAATGCAGAAGTTAATTAGACTGTCTGTAATGGTTCTTCTAATGACGTAGCTTGGCAAATTAACGTGTGTGATGTGCACAGTTCTACTGAACTGCTTTCTAAACCTAATTTCTTTCCATTTTTGTCAGATATTTCCATTTCTTAATCCTGTTACCAGCCCACTGCCAAAATTATTTAACGTCAGCTTCCGTCAGTGCGTGATAGTTATCTCTAAGTGACAAAATCACAATTTGGGACATATAAACCTGCTTATATTGTCAGAAAGACGGCCAGCTGGCATTGATTGATGTTAATTTAATATGAAAATTAACACATTAATGCAGGCTACTATGTGCTGTTAAATTATTAAATATGCTGTGTTTTTGAGAATGACTTTAATATACTAATGACAGCAGTGTTGGGTATGAAATATTAATAAGCTCTGGCTATCTCCTCATTTCATCACAGGTTTCTTGGTTTTGCATCTTGACTATAGTCAACTGCCAATTTCATCTCTTTTTTTATATGAGAAAGTGTTTGTGTTAAATATGTAATATAATCATTTGGATGCAAAATGGTTGGATGGGTGCAAAATGTTTATATATGTTTTTAAAAAATCAAATATTGTAATGTATTCTTGTACTTTGCTAAATATTATGATCATTTCTCTCCTTCCTTCCCTCTAAAATTTATCTTGTCAAGTCTCTGTATAATACTGTATGTGGTCCACACTCAAAGCATAGCTTTGGACTCCGTAGTCTTGAGGGATACTGACTGATCTACAGTCTTGAGCCATGGTCTGTGTAGGTGTCAGACATGTGAAAAATCCTGTTTTTAGTGGCATCATTGGAATTCACTGATGCAACGACTTAAGCTTGAGTGTTTAACAGTTTTGAATGCTTGATCATAATATGTATTTATGCTTCTATACCACATCAAGTTGTCATGTAATAGTAAAATTCTGTATGTTCAGTAATATGGCAGTGATGGCACAACAGGATTTTGAAATGTGACCGGTACGTAATAATCGTGATTAAAGTGAGAAATAGAAAGCTTCATAATTGCAGTAATTCCTGTTAAAATGAGTGGTTGACTTCTGTAGAGTCAAGTCCTTTCTCTTAGAAAACATTTTAACAATTGTGCTTTTCCTTTATACTGGATTTTTTTCCAACCATCTTCTAATTGTCATTTCATATCCCAGTAACACACTAAAAAATCACTTTGCCATTGCAGCCTGCAGGGTTATTGGCTGGGAGATTTGTCAGGGGTCAGAGCAAGTAGGCTGCGTGTTCTGGCATATGTGTCAAACAGCTCCATTATGAATAATGAAAAATTCAAGCTGTGCTTTCCATTTTGGGGTGGATGGCTGTTTTTTTCCCATGTAATAATTTTATATGAAACGTTAATTTCACGTAGGTCATTTTTGTTTTTTCCCCTCTCTTATCCATACAAGCTTTGTGGATATTTGTAAGATGACTTGGTATTATGATACTGACAATCTGGCTAGCTGGTTTTTTGGCAGTGTTGCAATGCAATTTTAATTATTTTTTATAGCGTCTATGAAATGAAATGACAAACCGCAATTTAACCCCTGACAAAACTTCATGGACTTTTGCTTTGTGTTGGACTTTTGTTTGAACACTATATAACTGATGTTGATAGTCTATAATTTTTGCTTTCCTTTTAGTCCCCGTTGCAGACGGACTTTAACAAGAGCCCAGCCAGCAAAGTATGACGATGCGCTTGATTCCGAAACGAGGCGTAGCTGTGAATGTTGTTTGGACACAGTAGCTGGACTGTTTTGTAATGTTGCATGATTGTGCTGTTTTTGCCCCCCCCCCTCTCTCACCTCCAGGAAGAGAGCCCCCTGAGTGTGTCTAGCCCTGACTCTATTGGTACCTGGATTCATTACACCTGTGGTGTTGGTACAGGGCGGCGAAGACGCAGATCAGGGGAGCAAAAGCCTTCCTCCCCTGTCTCCCCCAAATCACTGGCTTTCACATCCAGTATTTTTGGCTCATGGCAACAGGTTTTTAAAAAGTTTATTAATTATTCACAGATGGTGTTACTTACTTATTGATCCATTTCTTTATCGTTTATGCACACACCAAGCATATGGTTGAAGTCGACAAGGACACCTGTTCGGCAGATCAATTTAAAGATACCGTTTTCAGCTGTAGCAGTCTACTAACTCTGGTAGAGAACATTCTAGAAGATGATGCAAGAAATTGTTAAAACGACTTGTGATAAAACCCCATTTTCAGCTTGGACTTTTTAAAAGGATTCTCGGAGTTACAGCTAAGACACCCGACTTCTGCCTGTTATTCAAATTTTTTTTTAGCTTTAGGTATTCTTCATAATATTTTGTTTAATTGGCTGCTAAACCATGTAATATACTTAAGCGTTGATTACATCAATAACATTTAACCCCTTCATAATTAGCTGTGGTAGCAACTGGGGCAGCGATCAGTGCTTTGGTAATTTCCTGCTGATTCTACCTGAAATATCAGTTCAGTTTAATTCAACCTTTATTTTAACTCAGAAATACATTGAGGTTGAGACCTCATTTACAATATAGCAGAGTAAAAACAAAGTATCATCATCCTTTCATTATTTATTTATTCTTTTATTAATGTGATGTTAATGGTTATTGCTGAGCTCGTGCCTTTTTTTTGTCATTGATTTTTATGTTCAATCTGATGTTTTGGAGCATGTAGTGTAATTGATTTTTACAGTAAATTATGGTTCACATAAACAGCTATCTTGTCGGCACTGTGGGCTTATCTCACTGCTGTTGCATATTCATGCAAGTCTGCTTTCGACTGACCTCCGGGTGGGATTTTAACCACGTGCTGCCCACACGCATCTTTCATTGATTAATTGAGTTGCCTCTTCAATTAATTCTGAGAGTGGAAATATGATGTTTTGTGGTCTGAGCCTGCAAAGCCTCCACTTTGCTCTTTGTGAATTTGCCGAACATGTCTGATGGTCCCTCTGATAAATCTGACCGTCAGCCGTCCAACGTTCCCTGTATTTGTCCCGGGGAGATACTACATTGATCAGAAACCGCACGTAATGTTCCGTGTTCCGCCTCAAGCGTGGCCAGAGATGTGCTTGGGATCGGAAGGTTGCCAGTTCAAATAACAGGTTTGGCAAAACGATTTCACCATTGGGTCCTTGAGTAAGGCCCTTACAAGATGAATTATTCACTGCCAAACTGTGGCTAACAGAGCACCGCATCTTATGTTAGCTAGACTCTCTCCTCCTGTACTCCAAATGGTACAACATGGAGCAAGAGACAAGAATATGGTTCTTTACATTAATCTGCTGAAAGATGAGTGTCATCTGTCCTTTGCGACTTTATTCAGTGCCAAATATCAATTTGATCCTTCTGTGGGCCATGACATAAGCGGCCATATGTCTGAAAATGCACATATTCTGCTTTGTAGAAGTCACTCTTACCGGCAGCCTGGTGTGTGTCTCCCTCAGGAACGTGGGTCTGTTCTTGTTTCGCTACTGTTGGGACACTGTTTCTATAGGGTCGACACTTTAGGAAAATTTGAAATGTAAAGGCTCCTCTCACTGCTATTATCTTCGATACTTTGATGTCAATCACAAACAAGAAGAAACATTTTAATTGGCTTTTTATTTTTAAGATTTTTTTTTCCATTAAGTAGATGTTAGGTAGCTTTATAAATATTTTCATGTTAGCTCTGAAAAACTTTGCCTCTTGATTTTAGCTGGAATACTGGATGTACTTTGTTACCAAGAACGTTTTTATATATGTATGTTATACGTATGCTTGTACGTTGGACAGCAGCCTTTAAAGCAAGTATAGAATAACTGATTAAGCTGCCCAAAGCTGATTCTTAAACGTTAAATGTTTATTGTATATTAATTCCTTACATTACTTTCTGATGAACAGTTATGAAGTTTAGCTCAGTGTTTCCCAGTCCGGTTCTCGGGGGACCCACAGACAGTCCTACCGGGAGCTGAGAGGAAGCAAAAACATGGAGCAGCTGTTTGTCCCTGAGGAGCGGATTGGCAAACAGTGATTCGAGCTCCTTAGCATGGATTTATAGAAAACACTGAAATCTGGAGATGCATGTCTTTTTTTTGAGATGAATTTGCTCATGGTTTCTCTCGTCTCGGCCTTCTCTGCATTGGGGGCAGGCCTCAGGGATCTAGCTGTCTAGATCTGTCTTTTAGACATTTGAGATTTGAGGTTTCCTCCTTAGCTAAGAAAAATGCTTCAGTTAAATAATTATCCTGAGACTTTAATCTGACGATAATCCAGCTGCCCATGTGGCTGAAATCAATCGGAGCTGCTCCTTCTCATCCTGCTGGTCGTCAGCCTTTGATGGTGACGCCTAGAAGGGGGGTGATGTGGTCTGTAACAATGACTTAATGCGGGTGCCCATTCGTTAGCCTCGATTGTCACTAAGGTCCGGCAGTGAGGCTTACCCAAACGGCCCTATCATTTCAAGTTGTCGTTGTTCGATCCGTGCACGAAACAGTGGCAGTATCTTTTTCACAAAAACAGCAACAAAAAACCTTGTTTTGTTTCTTTTGTCTTCCCTTATTTGAGACAGGTGCTGTGTATATCTAGTTGGAAAAAAGATAAACAAAATCTGGCTGTCTTGGTTGTCATACTTGCGAACTGTTGCCATGTCTCCATCCTTCCTACATCCTTCCTGCATCCTCCTCTCTCCATTGCTGTGTGTGCACTGTAGCTGGCAGGATGTCCTGCCCGGAATGGTCCCCTGGACATGTTGCATGACCACCTTCTTTTGGTTCTTTTGTTCGATCATGGTTCTCCATGCTAACATTTTTTTTCTCGGTGCTGCTTATTAACATGCGTGTTTCCGGAGCGGGCTTTTGTGTTCCGCACGCTGCGTTTACCCCCACCGGTTGTGGTATGTGATGCTAAAGCCTCGTCTTGTCCCCCTCCCCTGCCCCCAACCACCCTGGTCTCCTTCAGGTCCTTTCGGAGAGCAGCGGCCACACTCGTTCAGGCAGGCTGCATCCGGAGCACAAGCTCGCAGGTGGGATAGGTAAGACGCCCCTTCTGTTCACGACACGGACACTCAATGGATTTACAACACGCTAACTCACTCTAGGCCTCGTTACCAATGCAGATTAGTGTACATCGCATTAATGTTACATAGTATCTAATACCTTGACCTGTATAATGAGAAACATCATTTTAACTTGCTATTTTACAGAACTAAAATTCCTTTTAGGCAAATACAGGAAATCTGTACAGTTGTAGTTCTGTGATAATGTACATTGCTTTTTACGCTCGACGGCTGAGTTTGTGATTGGTGCATATTACCAGTTGACCTGCTGTTTCGTTTCCCGCACTTCCTTCCTGTTATACCCTCCTAGCACTTTGATTTGATCTCCTTGCAGAGGCTGCTGTCTGCCTTTTTAATCGTATGAAACTGAATGACGAATTACTAAATGGTGACGTGAAGCTTATTAGTGATGCAATTTTAACATAATGTATAACCTTTAAAAAGATTTTTGCCACACAACTGACCTAAAGAGTGCTAACTCATGTATCTCATACATGGTGGTAATGTCCTTTTGTTGACTAAAAATGTACCATTTTGTAATTTATATTTCTCAGTCACTCAGGCGTTTAAATGCGTCAGCTATGGAAATTAATTTGTTTCAGTTGGAATCTTTACAGATTTATTTGAGGCCAGACATATTTCAGCTTTTTCCCAACGACTAAATAAAAAAATGTACAAATGTCCAAAGCAGAATTACAGGTTAGAATTACATTGCATAAATATGTAGCATCGGCATAAAACAGCACTGTCTGCGAAAGTCAAATGAAACGTTTAAAGCAGTTTATCTGGGTAGTAAAGACTGGTTCGTAGATCTCCACACACATGCCAGCGGACGTGTCCGCTCAAACGTTTATGATACGTTTGATGTGATTGTGCACCTCCGCGGATGAACGTCTGCTTCATTCCAAATTTGTGTCCGCGTAGAGGTGTCCGTGTAGCTCTGGACACACTGCGCATGAGTAAAACAGTAAAAATTAAGAAGAACTTCTTGTTCTCTAAAACTCTCCTCAGGGTCACCCCAGCCATTCCATGTATTTGTTAAATTGCAACACCAGTTTCCTTGCTTTGTTTAGTTTCAAAGTCAATAAGACTTTGATTAGCCACACAAGGTGTATTGCTTCTCGAGTCAGAAAATACTTGGCTGCTGCTGATATTGGGGTGATTTTTGAAATGGCTAAACTGACATGCTTTGACAGACATAATATAGTTTTACACTTTTCTTTGACTGTCAAAGTTTTGCACAGTACTGTTCATTAGCACAAATACTTGTATTTATTTTGCTATAAAATAGCTCTAAATTCTGCACAGTAGCAAACTTGTTTGAAATATATCAGTTCCGATCAAATATAACAACACAGTGCTACTTCATTCAACCCACATCTACTCTTGGGAAAAACCGGTTCATGTTTCTCGCGTCAACTGGAACAAACAAGCTTGAAATCATGGAACGAGAGACGAAGGGCCTGCTTGCATTTTCAAAAACCCAACAAAAACCGAGAAAAAAAAAAGTCAGGCTACTCGAAGTGACATTACTGTCCGTGTGTGACGTTTTCTGTGGGGTTGCACACAGGGGCTTTGTGGCAAGAATCTGTGGCGGATGCACGTTGCATGAATTTCCATGGTGTGACGCGTGTTGGCACACGGATGCTGTATGTATCTTCTCTAACTCCCATTAGGGTCACATTGCGCTGGGCTGTTTAGCACCATGGTGCTCGGGGGCTCCTCCAGTGCACCTAACCTACAGGATTATGCTCGTGCGCACCGTAAAAAGCTGACTTCCGCTGCCTTCCTAGATGGTATGTGCAAACACGCACACACATCTGTAAAAGATGACCCTGAACCCATTAACCATCGCCTTTTTTCTGTTTTTGTTTATTTTGTTTATATGAAGGAATCCTGGAAATTAGCTCTTTTTTTCCTGTGTGTGCTGGGATAACCGTCGTGTGTGCGCGTGTGTGTGCGCGCATGCTTGTTTTAGTGTTGATTATGAAAAATATTTTTTTTCCGTGGGTTGCTTGCTACAAAAGCAAGCAATAGTAGGGATTGTTTTGTTTTGCCTTAATAGAATAAGGTGCGCTCTGCTAAAAGTGACTCAGATTTCAAGCCTAGCGTGCCTTGCCACTGCTCTTCGTGTTAGTTTGGGGTAGTATCTTTTCTGTAGCAGTTTCAGGTTAAGATTTGTGTCACAATACTATATATACTGTATCATCTATACTAGAACTACTCCTCATTCTGTAATATATACTATTTTAGACATGAAAATCTATTTACCTCCAGCTTAACATAAATGAGGGGAGGGCAAGTCTACTGGTGGGGTACTTTAGAAATGTTATGATATCAACGTTACAGTAACATGCATGATGATAACAGTACTTTTTGTACTTTTAAAGGGTGTAACAAGGAAACTAGTTTCATTATTGGTTAACATAATTATATTCTCTTTCTTTTTTAAGCAAATCGTGTACAGATGTTGAGGCTTTTTTTACATTTTTTTTTAAATAAAACCTAGCTTTTGTCATGGCTTTAACACTGAAGCTAACTGCAGGGGGAGGAATCTCTTAAGTGTATTCTGGGTCTTAAAGCCTGCCAAGTTTTCTACTTTTTTTATCTAATAAAAAAAATTATTTGTAGGACTGAAAGCTTTCAACATGAATAGAAGTGCTCCGTATATTAGATTTCAACTGTATTCAATTTATTTTCCAGTGGATGCAAATCTAAATAGTAGGCATTATTTTACATTGCTTTCACCATTGACTGATTTATTAGTCTTGATTTCAGATAATCAATCTTTTTGGGGATAAAACACGTATTTTTCCAAACTTATCAGCCTATAAAGTCCAGGATTCCTTAGTATCTGAAAATCTTTACTTATTCATTTAATTTTGTTTAGCCTGGCCATCCCATCCAACATAAAAACAGCTCTGTTTGAGATTGGCCTTTAGTTAGATGAATAACACACCTCAGCTTTTTTCCAGTTCTCTCTGTACACATGCTGCTGGGGGTGTGAACAGTTTTGTAGTTACATTTTTTGTGACGACAGCATTGATGCCTCAGCATCTCTCAGCCCAAGGCTCAGAACATCTAAGGAATTTTAAAGACATTCATCCCTTAATAGGACTCATAGCAATGAGTAACATTTGTTTGGTTTTTGTTTTTTGTTTGTTTTTGTTCACTTATGCCTAGTGCTGGCTGACCAAACCCTCATTCATTAATCCACGGCTTCTCCTCCTCCTCCTCCTCCTCCTCCTTCACCCTGTCACCTTGCATGTCCTCTAACACTTTGCTCTTCCTTTTCTGACCCTCCCCCTTTCAGTTTAGCTGTTGTACATTTCAGGTACCTGTTTTTCTCTTTCTCAGAGGCCACGCGTGGTTCTGCTGTAAAAAGGTTTTCTATCTCATTTGCTCGACACCCAACCAATGGTATGTTTGCTTTTGTTGTTGTTGGTTTTTTTTGTTTTGTTTTTTATTTTTCAATGTAACAACCTTGCTTCATCTTTTTTTTTTTTTTTATTTGACATATCAACATTGAGCTTCTCCTTAGCTATCCCAGGAAAACACTGGGATCTCAAAACTCTCCGGCAATCAGGATATATGAATTTTCTTAAAGCTATCTCCTTCTGTTGTGTAAATTCTGTGATTTAATGGTGCAAGGAAAATAATGCTTTCTTTTAAAAAAGAGAACATGGGATGTGGTTTCATGATTTCAAAAATTCTAATGTGACATTCTTGGTTATTTCTAAATTCTTCCCAGTTTAGACATCAGTTTTCTGCTAACTACAACATGCCAAAAAGCTCCATTCTAAAATAAGATTTATGAGAATTAAAAAGGCTTTTTGCAGAAATCATTTTAGTTCTAAATGTTTTCATATCATTTTTTCATTATTTTTTATTTTTGTTGTTCAAAACTGCTTTTCTAAATGGGTCAGTGTTTTCCAGTATGTTCTGTGGTAAGTGTTGATTCATTTATCCATTTTCATGTCCTGTTTGGGTGGTTTGATGTTCTTTCCTGTCTTTTTTCTTTGTGGTGTTTGATTTTTACTCAATTCTTCCATACTTTTACATATTTTCCCTGTATCGTTTTCCATCCATTTTCCCCTATAAACCTTGTAGCTGTGATTAAGGTGAAAAATGGAAGTTAGCAGTTGAGAATTTCACATCAATGTTTTGTTGTAGATATAGATTCTCATTCAGTTAAACAGTGATTCCTCAGCCATATGGATAAAGTTCAGTAAGTATTGATAAATGTCATTAATATAAGATAAAATGCACTGGTTTTCAAACCAATACACCAAAATTTATTTAAATTAACACCACTGAATATATATAACATAGAAAATTGCTTGTTACACTATGTTACTAAAGTATATAATTACATACATTTTCAGTTTATGATTATTTTTAAATACAAATAATGACATACATTAATCATTATCAATGAAATTTTCCATTAGATGAACTGGTTGTCTTTTTTCAGTAAATGAACTCAATTCTGGTCATTCTGTGATACTTCAGCAATTCGTTTCTGCATTTGTTAACTGGACATGTATCACTGCTCTTGGTTTATTGTATTAACAATTCCATGTTTTCATCCACTGTTACGTCCATGTGCATAGATGTATTTGTGTTTCATTGCTGTTCATGCTTTAGGTCTTTGTGTGGCTGGTTGCAAAGTTTTGTTTTGACCCATTTGAATGCATTTGTTTTACAACTGGCTTTTATGGCCTTTATTTGTTTTGTGTCATTACTATTTTAGTTTTCTGGTGTGATTTTTAGTTACGTTTTCTGTCTTTATTCACCAGTTCTTTTGAGAGGAAACCGTTCTCATTACAGTCCATAACGTCCTGTCAGTATATCAGTTATTTATTTATGCAAAGGATAAACGCATATCTGTAACCTTTTGCACTAATCATACTCCTTGCATAGCTAGACCCAAAACATAACAGAGGATCAGTGTTAGGGATTTTTCAGTAGGAGTCTGCAGGAGACACCGGTAGGGGAAAAGGTTTATTCCCCTCCCTCATTGTCCTCCCCACAATGTAGTCTGAAGTGAAGCTGAATTAATCTTTTTGAGAATTTCAGCAGCTTTTATTTGGATGGATAACACGAGTGAGGTACTTTTAATAGGCCTGTCAAGCACTTGTGTGCTGCTGGTTAATTGAGGCATTGCACTACTCCTGCCCAGTGCAGCACAGCATTGGCGTACGTAGATATTCCTCTGCCAAGCCAAACATTAGCCAGGCATCTCGTTCCCAGCACCTTTGAGGCTGCCTGGTAGGGATGGAGGACACCGTGGAGGTTGATGCAGAACTGGAAAAGACTAAAGAAAGAAGCCCTTTGCTTTTGAATAATCCATAAACTGGATGCATTCTTGGTACATTGTGTAGTGTTAGGTTTCTTTTATGACAAGAAAATGATGATACATCCATTGACTGAAACACTTTAGCTTATAGTGGGAAGTAGCAGTTAAATTTATTCCAAATGATTGAATTAACTGTTTTTTATTGCTTGGTTTTATTTACATTTGCGTGACTGGATGTTATGTACGGGCTGACCGAATTGTAACTTGATTCTTTTCATGAGGATTCACACATTTTATTTGGAAAGTCAATACTGTAAACTGGTCTGAGGTAGGTTGATATGCATTATTTCATTTTGTATCATTCCAACTTTAGGAGACCCTGTGTTATCTGTAAGGCCTGATGGTATTTCTGTGCCTGTGATGTGAGGTGTGGAGTATGGTTTTGATGCCATAATTATTCAGATGGGACAGTTATGCTACTTTGAGTATCAGTGAGTGACGACTTAATTTTGCCCCCAGTAACAGCCTCATTGTGACGTGGTGTTTCCCTTTTAGGTTTTGAGTTATACTCCATGGTCCCGTCAATTTGCCCCCTGGAGACGCTTCACAACTCGCTCTCGCTGAAGCAGGTCGATGACTTCCTGGCGTCTATCGCCATGTCCCAGGAATGCAACATGGTGACGCCCACATCCTCGCCTGGTTTGTACCACTGAGTGCAATACAGTCTTGTGGGTCTACAATGGTACTGCCACATTATAAAGGGTGGTAAAAAAAATATATATATGACATGTGCCCTGTTGCTTTCAGCTTCTGCATTAATCTGTGGTGCTGGTCCGGTAAGGAATGTCCCATTGAACACATATACTCCAGCAAGGGTTCTGCCTTGTCCTTACACTCATGCTTCAAGTGTGAAGAGATCTTTGGAAAGGGAGGCAACTGATGGTAAGTGGTTTTAGGTCAGTATAATATGTGTTACGTATAACCTTTACTGTTTAAATATAAATGCACAATATATACACACTGCATATACTGTACACATCCTTATGTCTTCTTGTTGTTTATCAATGGTGCTATGGAGTTTCTGTCTCTTGTCTGACACAAGGTTGCATTGCCTTTTTCCTATCCCTCCGACCCCAAAGCAGGCAGTGGATCCCCCAGCAGAGCGCCTGGGAGCGGTTCTACTGACAACTCACCCCATGGTCCAGTGGGAGACCGAGCTGTACATCAGTATTCAACCCGGCAAACTCCAAGAGACAGAGATGTACAGCAATGTGTCAGTGATACCATGGCCAATAAGACCCTCCTACAAGATTCCACATCTCATGCTCTGGCCAATAAGATTCCCCTACAAGATTCAATGCCTCGTGCTCTGGCCAATAAGATTCCCCTGCAAGATTCAATGCCTCGTGCTCTGGCCAATAAGATTCCCCTTCAAGATTCAATGCCTTGTGCTCTGGCCAATAAGATTCCCTTGCAAGATTCAGAGCCTCGTGCTCTGGCCAATAAGATTCCCTTGCAAGATTCAATGCCTCATGCTCTGGCAAATATGACTCCCCTGCAAGATGCAACCCATCACAGCCTGGCTAATAAGACCCTATTGCAAACATCAATCTATGATACAGTGGGAAATCAAATGCTCCTGCAAGATTCAAATGTTTATACCCTGGACAGTAAGAACCCACTGCAAGATTCAATCACACACACCCTCGGGGATAAGACCCCATTGCAATCCTCAGTCTATCACAACTTGGGCAGTCAGATGCCATTGCAACCCTCAACCCATGATACCTTGAACAATCAGAGTCCTCTGCAGGATTCAACCCCTCATACCCTGGGCATAAAGACCACATTGCAACCCTCACCCCATGAGAGCTTGTGTAATAAGACTTTCCTACAGCATTCACCCCATGATACATCAGGTAATAAGTTTACCCTACTGCCTTCAGTCCATGACATTATGGGTAATAAGGCCATTCTGCAACCCACAGCCCAAGGTGCCCCAGGTATTAAGATGCAATCCTTAGGTCGAAGTACCACAGCCACGCCCCATGATATGTCTGTTGATAAAGTAGCCTCACAAGATTCAAGTCAAGACAGCCCTGGAGGCAGAAGTTCCCAGCAAGTCTTGCCCCGTGGCATGCTAGCTGTAAAAGTGCTCTCGAAGGACCGGCCAGATGCTGCCAGTGGGGATGGGGATGGGGATGGGGATGCTGCTCGGGACCATTCTTCTCTTGCTTCTCAGAAGGACAAAGGACCCCTACACTCAGACACTAAGACACAGGAGTCCCACAGGGCCCAGAGTAAACAGCCATGAAATGACAGTTGGCATGGAAATGCTATATGCCATCTCTGTTCAATTTTTTTTTATCGTTTATGTAACAACGCAGTATATTATTAACAGAACTTTTGTGAATTTGTTCTTTTAGAATTTAGATGAACATGGATTCAAGGTAAAATCTGTGGCATTTTATTGGGACAGAGACCAAAGGACAATGTTACAGTGTTTGTGGTTTGTAGGTACTTAAAACTGGAACTGGACAGTCATTCACACATTTGGTATTTCACAACTGCTTCATATAATCGGCAAAAAGTCCTTTGTCAAAATTCTAATTTTGTACATATAAACTTTCAAAAAAAAAAAATACATGAAATGTTAAATGTTCTAGATGGTACCTGGGAAACATGACTCACTGCTTTCCATTACATAGATCTCACATTATGGTGTTCTGGAAAAGGTGCAAGTCAGTAAAAGTAAAAACGTCCATTACAAAAGAACATTTAATCTAATGTCTTTCAGTGTCCCTGTTCAGCGAAATGCCTGCCATGCTGTATATATGACACCAGACCTGCTGAGTGAAATGCAATTTAGTGGGATTATGACCGTGAATCTGAGGGCAATGTACAGTGAAATGTGTGGGCCATCAATAGAAACCCAAACATTGTTCTTTAGTTTTTTTTTTTGGAAGACAAAGCTATATACATATGAAGCTCTGTAAAGTATAAAATATACTATTTTTAATACTACCCTCTGGTTTTACTTTGTTGCTCAATGATTTGAAATCAGAGATGCCTTTTGATTTTGCCTTGTTTCATTTTTTTCTTCTTAATCAGATTGTTGTATAAGTCTATGTATATAATGCATTAAACACCAATATTTTTGTTGCATATATATTTTAAAACTGGAATTTGCAAGTAAGTCGTATTAAATTCATTTGAATTCTCATTTACGATGGTATGTTCCACATTGTAAAATGTTGAGTAAGCCATGTGCAGTTGCATTTTTAAAGCAATGTAACATTAGTTTACAATATTAAAAAATAAAATGCAAGAATTGTATCAGTAAGTCAAATATGTTTGGTAGGAGATGTTTTAAACACTTCTCCGTGTTACCGCTACATTTAAATACCGTTTAAAGTGGGTCTTGTTTTTGTTTCTAGTGATTATTTTCGTATTTTATTTTTAAATAAAGCTGTTAATCACAACGAATTACGTAGTGTATTTAGTGATACCTGGTTAGTCTTGATGTCAAACGTGTCTTAATTAGCACGACTTTGCCTCATCGCACTGCTTTTGTTAATACATGAGGTATAGAGTATGGTTGTTACAATAACGTCGTTGATATCTTCTAGACCTTATATTTGATGTCGTGGCCTTTAATGCGTTTTTATATTTACTCAATGGATCTTCGTCGACTAAGAGACAGACAACAGATGATCAAAAATTAAAACTCCTGTCAGTTTCAAATCACTAATGTAGTCTTCATAACAGTATCACATTCTTATAATAAGGTAGTATAAACAGTCCGCTATAAATAAACTACATGCAAATATGTATGTATGTCTGTAGTGTGTACGTGTGCTTGTATTATATGTGTACATATAGCAAAGGTGACAAGGAATCAGAACAAGCTATTGGACTCAGCAGACGTGATCCGATCAGCATGCGGGGGGTGAGGTCATCGGCGGATTCCGTCACCACCACGTGACCGCCGTCGGAAGTGCGCTATATCACTACTCTGGCTTCAGCGGACCCGGTCCATTCGGCAGGAGGAGAGAGCGCTGGCTAGCTTCGCCTTCACGGTCCAGGTTCGGCTCTCTTGCTTGTCTTTTTTCCAAACCTTGTCAGAATGTATGACGGGGATGTATTTCTGACAGCGCCCGGCTAGGTTTCGTTGCTGTCTCCGGGGCGCTCGGTGCCAAGTCGCACCTGCACCTGTTTCGGAAACGACGCGAACGACCGTCTGGGCGAATTCACTCACGACCTTGTTAAAAATGGCGGAGTTTAGCATTTTAAAGACTGTTTGAGTGTTTCTCTATTTTTTACGCGTTATACTGCGGCGCCGCTTGTCCGTTTGAGCAAAAGCCGTATGAAACGGGAAAGCTAAGCGGCTAATGTGCCTCAGAAAAAGACTGGGAGCTGGCCTTCACGATCTGCCTTCCGCTTTTGGCCGTAATTAATAGGTGTTTCCTACCCAGAGGCTCATTATTTACGGTTCATCCATCGTAGTGGGTAACGCACGGACGGGCCGGCTTTGTCCAAACCGATGCCCGCATGTTCTGGGGTAGCGATGACAGGTGTGTGAGGCAGGGATGATTCAGTTGGGGACGGATCTCATTGGGATGCACCGGTGTGTTTGGACCGATGGCTCTGCACTGAAATCAGATTTCATGATTTATATATTGGCGAATGTCAAGAAGCTTGTGCATCGAGATACTCTTTTCAAATGAGTTCGATGGAATATCAATGGAAGGATGAATAACATAAGATGAGAGGATGGCTTTCTAATCCCAACGTTAATGCTTCCATATTCAGTGCTTCATGGCGGCAGGCCCCACTCGATCACTATATTTGGATGATTCATGGTGATTTAAAGTCGATTATTTAGGGGGAAGGCAGGAGATGATAGGCTGCAGCGCCCAGCTTGGTTCCCCGGGAGCCTAGAGCGTTCCTGGGGATGTGCGGCTTTATGAATGGGGACTCGTATGCGTTTGAGTCCCGACAACTATAGTTGATTTCACAGGCCTGAATAATGTTATTAAATTACAAAGAAACCCTTACAGAGAAGTGCACGCGAGGAGAACTGCATCGTCATTTAAAACATTTAGATACCTTATTTGTAGTGTGCTTTGCAGTGTGTTCTCTGACTCGCCATTGGTAGTCTGGGTAAAAGGCATTTTAATGATAACCGGGGTTTAGCCGATTCATTTTAATTCGATTTCGTTGGTTGTGTTTAATATTTTGATTCGGATTGCTCTGACCTATATTTGCGTGGCCCTTGTTTGTAGCAGCTGATTTTCGCCATGCGTAAAAACGCCTTGTAAATTGTTAGAGGTGTTTTTTGTGTCCCCTCCCCAAGGTCTTGCGTTTAAATTACTTGCGGTCCTAGTCTGATTTTTTTTTTTTCTCTCTCTCTCTCTCTAAAGGCCACACCGGGCAAAACGGTGCTGGCAAGCCATCATGTGACCAAAGTGAAGGTTTACCAAGAGGTTTAAGGACTAAGGACGCAGTGTTATTAGGGTTACTGATGCTCTCTAGTCAGTATATTTAGGCTATAAACCGTAGCTATGTTTATTTTTGATTGCAGTTTTAGAATTGTAATTTTGTTGTGTGCTTTTCAACGTATTAATCTAATTTTGCCACCATTTTCCTAGTGATGGGTGCTGTGGAGGCATATTTGAGTATTTGAATAATATTTGAATATTTATTATTAATGTAATTGCATGTATTATCTTAATACAAAGGCAGTGTTCTTGGCATGTTGGTGTATATGACTCATGCCTTTATATGATAATCATCGTTCAGAATTAAAATTCAGATAACAGCATGTTACGATTTTACCGAATGTATTAGTTTTATTTTTTTATTTCAGTTGTCTTTCATTGTTTCAGAGTCTTCATTTTAGTAGTAAAACTGTGCTTATACTGAACTGTTTATGAACTAGCAATTTTGCTGTTTAAAAATGCCCGAATCTATTTATTTGGTACGTCGGTATTTATGTGTCTGTATGTGTATGTGTTGTTTTTTTCCATCTTCCTCCAGTCAGGTCATGTCTTTAACGATGGAGATGGATGTCAGTGGAGTATCCAGGACAGCCATGTCTGTTCTTCCTGCTCCGGAGGCGAAAGCTACGCTGAAGCCTGAGATGGAGAAGCCCCGCTGTGCCAGCACGCCCTGCTCTCCGATCAAAAGTACGGTTTCGGGATACCAGATCGTCCACATGAACTCCAATTACCTTGTGGGCTTCACCACCGGAGAGGAGCTCCTTAAACTGGCCCACAAGTGGTCATCCGACGCAGAGAATTCAGGAACCGACGCCTTACGGAGCCCGTGCACGAAGCCGGTGGATTTGGGTCTTCATCGAGCCTCTCGGATATACAAAACCAAGAATCGACACTACCAGCCTTACGACATTCCAGCAGTCAATGGGCAGAGGCGGAGAAGGATGCCCAGCTCAGGTGAAAACTACCTCAAGTCACTGCCTGGGGAGTCCGGAAAGGTACTTCACGGCTCTCTGCCGCTCTGCCTTTTGAATGGAAAGAGAGCGCATTCAAAATCTTTGGACTACCTCAACTTGGACAAAATGAGTGTCAAGGAGCCGGCGGACACGGAGGTCTTGCAGTACCAGCTTCAGCACCTCACCCTCAGAGGGGAGCGGCTGTTTACCAGGAACAAGACATGAAGTGGACCCAGGGAACCGCTCGATTTTTGACACATCTCTCGAAATACCCGTCCCCCCGTCCCCCAACACCACCTCCCCCCACAGAGCTTAGGCAGCGCTCCTGATATTTGTGTGTTATTTATCTTGTCATTTAATGAACCATTACATTGAGGATTAAACGTGAGAGCAGTCCACACACGAATAAATGGGTATTGGCAACCGGACGTAGTGTGTGGTATTGCGAGAGTAACTTTAAATATTTAGAATACATTTCAAGAGTAGCAATAACACGTACATTCAGTAACTGAAGGAACGATGTTGATTTCTGTGAATCTGGCAATGTATCGATTGCAGCTTTCCTTTTTTTTCTGCCTTTGCACTGTTACACACATTGAATATTTATAAAAACATTGCCTCAGAACCAGAAGCACACTATCAATTTAAAATGACTTGTTGGATATTAGCACACCTATCAAGCTTACCTTCACCTGCGTATTCATAAGTACATACCTGCATACATAAATGGAACGTAAGACCGACTTGCATTGTTCTGTATAAAAGGGTCTTTTAAGCAGAGTTGTGGTGGAGAAGATTATTAGCGACATGCTTAGTGTAAGATTCGCTTAACTATCATCAAACTTGCTATATGCTGGAAATATGTTAGGGTTTATTTTGTTTTGTAATGTTTGTGTGCGTCTTGATCTTTCAGCACGATTTTCATAGGGGAAACATGACAGAGGTGAAACTGGTTGTGCAGAAAATGGTTCCTTTAAGCTCTTGTGTACATGCCTAATTTGTATGATACTTGTCACACAGGTGTGTAGGTTCTGAATGCATAGCTTTAGAAACCAAAGGATTTACTCATGGGCATCCTATAAAAACTTGATGAACCATTCTTTTGGCAATGTTTTTCATAGAATAACACAGGACAATCATCTGGAAAGTTCTCGCTCTTGGGAAAGACGGAACTGAGCCAATGGTGTCACTGGCCCTGGTGTTTAACTTATAATGGTTTATTAGGAATCTGTAGGGCATCTCTCAATTTTTATTTGATTTCAATTGGTTGTGTGAAGCATTGGGTTGGTTCTCAATATTTATGTAGGATAGAATATTCACATTACATGACTAAGATATTTGCAATTTTTGTACAGTGCTGGAAGCACTGTATGTGCTTTTGCTAAAAATTAGTTTTTAATATTAAAACATTTCATTATATAGTAATTAAATTCTTTACCATTTGTTGGCCTGATGGATATCTTGATGTTGGTTTAAACACTTTATAAATTCATGACTTTAACAAATCAGATTTAAAGCACCTTAATGTAACTTATTTGATTAATATCCATAGCAGAGAACGATTGTTAGCGTGGGTGACCTTTTTCTAAAGCAGCTCCGTAATAAAACAACATTTGCAGCTGATAGACTGTTAAAAATATCTTTGAATAACTTATCACACTCTTTGGGGTGGGGTTGGGTGGGGGGGGGGGGGTGGGGGGGGGGGTGAAGCTGTATGACAAATTTTCTGTGCAGCTATTGCTATTTAATTCTTAAGGCATCTTTTGCTGGTTTGTATTTTTTAAGACTGTGGTTGAGTACTGTAGAATTTTATTTAAAATTTTAAATGTCAAATATATTTTCAGTGTTACATGTTTCATTTTTACTAGCTTTCTGAGGTCTGCATAGGTTCATGCAACAACATGCGTGGTGTTTACTATTTCAGTCTGAAGCTCCAAACAAACTAAGAGCGTTTGGAAATTGTGATTAAGACAGTGAAAATGATCTCCCCATTGAGGTCTTAAAGCTATTCTTTTAGAAGCATGAAGCTTCTGTCCCATTTTCTGCATTTACATTTGCGTGTGTATATTTGACAATTTGGAATGACTTACAGTTTTATGTCTATGTACAGTGAGCCTCCTCTGCCAGATGCCCCAGTGAGGATTTGCTTTTCCTGCAAAAATAAATGCAGTTTTTTTTTTTAATGTATTGTTTTTACAACAGCATCTATGATCTAGTTCTTCAGTAGAATGTAGAAATTTATAAACCGTTAACATACATGCTATTTTTTTTCACTAGGGTGGAAACTGACTGTTAATAGAAAATTCACAATTAATAGCTTCATTTGAGTGTGCCTCAATTTAAATAGACAAGGAAGGGAAATGTTAAAAGTGTGAATCTTTAATCCTTCGGTCTCTAAGTGCTTCTACACCAGTTAACAAGAATATAGGTAGAATACATAGGCGATTCTCAAGGTTGAAAGTGATTTTTGTCTTAAAGGTTGACATCTATTAATTAATTCTGTTATAAATTTTGTGTTAGCTAGCTACGTGAAACATGAGTTGTGAACTTAGCATACCGGTATTGACAGACAGACAGATGTGATGTCTTTGGATTTCCATTATCATACATGTTTTACAATAAAACTTTTGTTTTATTGAGTACATTCTATCGTTGAGGTGCATTGAGAAATATGCATAGCTTCGCATCCAAGAATGCTTTGGAAATTTCACTTGCCCATAATCTCACTCGGCACCTGTTTTCGTGTGGAGCCCCCATGCTGAATGAGAGTCAACTGTACAAAAGCTTACATAGCTGTTCATGGATGTGGTGTCAGCAGACGATGCACCACGTAATGGAAGTTGAACCTCCGTGTATGTTCTGCATCTGAAAAAAGGCCTTGCCCTGTCTAAGCTTCAGTTACATGGCTTTTACGAGAGCAATAACAAAAGTTATTGAAATCAAGCCTCCTGGTTACTACTACTTGGTAAGCATTGCTAATTTTGAGCCATTGTAACACAGGGTGGAAATGGTGAACTCTTGCATGTCATTCATGGTGAAAGGCATTATGAAATCGCAGCACTAGCTGCAGTGCCTTTTTACGGTTGTTTGCTTTTCAGTTCATTTCTCTGAGCCTCGTGTTGTGTATTGTCTTTTTATTTGAAATGTTTAAATTATTTGTTTAGATGTTGCAGTTTAAGTGGGGACTTTTAAACAAGCCGCAGAACCATGACTTTGGATCTGCACTTGGCTGAATTACTGAATGGGTCTACGTATGCTCTGTGATGCCATTGCAGTTTAAGCTTTTTGTGGTCGTACACTTGGCATTATTAAAACATTTGACTATCGACTGCTTCAGTGTCCATGTTTTACAAAGAGAAGAAAGCTTCCAAAGCTAAATGTAAAATGACTGGGAGTAAATATCTATTTTTAATTCTCTAATTACTCTTTAACATATCGCACCCATCATTCGTAACTTTTTACCCAGGACAGGTGTGCCGGAGTGCAGCCTGGGAACCTCCTGAAACCCTTCACTCTGGGTAATAAGTGACACTCATTCACCTAACTGCACATTTTTGGAATTGGGGTAGGGGCTCGAACCCTTAACCATGGAGATACACCGCTACAGGACTGACCACTAAGCTGCCTCCTCTAGAACAGTACAGTTTTTATCTTACATTTTATGGCCTCTGGGGGGAGCTGGTAAACATGTTGCTTACTAAACTCAAACATGCTTAATGGGCAGAGCAAACCACTGCATTTCACCCCAAAAGCATAGGAAATCAAAAGTTTTTAAATGAGCAACCACCATAAACTTAACAGTCAATTCATGGGTAAGTATAGCCTTGGTCTTGGTGGAAGCGGCACTGTTTCTGCAGTTTGAAGACCCAGCAGAAGGCCAGTGAACCATCTCTCCAGATTTACAGTGCTGTAGGCCTGTCCTTAAGCCGGATGTCAACCCTGGGCCTGGTCGTCTCAGCTGGTCAGTATGAAAATGGCATCAGAGGTCAACTATGACGATGTAATATAATGCAGTGAATTAGTGGTTAGTGCTGTTTTGACTTAATCCAGTGTTTCCCAATCTGGTCCACAGCAGTCGGGAGGGTCGCCGAGGACTGAGTTTAATCAATTACTGTAGGATAATATGTGTGTGTTGGTACCACAATAACTTTCAGATTATAAAATGTGTGTATTATATCATGTATTAAAAGTCAGAGTGCATTAAAATAAAAGTGGTAAAAGGCCAAATGAAACAACATTGTGAAAGATGTAAACTATGTCAAATTCACCACATAAATGCCCTTATGCTACAGATAAACCAGTATCTAGTCAAAACTACTGCTGTTCATTGATTGCTGAAGGTTTTGCAAAACTTTGAGGTAATTGAAGAAAAACATGAACATTGCATGTATTCCTATCATTTTCCAATTTGCACTTGGCTGAATTACCAAACACTCCCCATATAGAATTACAGACTAGATTCAAACCTCATAATGCTTGTATACATGTATACATCTTTCCTGAGTTACTATAGCAATTTTTAATGTTAATATTAACTAGATAGATGAAAGAAAATGAACTTGATTAATCCCTGAGGGGAAAACATATAATTACTTAACCTTAGATAATGATTTTCATATCTGACATTTTTCCAGTTAAGTTCCTTCTGGTTAGAACAGACTAAAGAGGTGCTGTCCAGTAGGGGGCAGCAACAGGCCATAAGGCTCAGTACAAATGTATTAGTCAATAAAGTTACTGTTGAAAGGCTTTGTAAGATTACAATTTCACGCATTTTAATGCTATTCCTTTGCACACAAATATTGCTGTCGATTTTTCAAACTAACTGAAGGTGTGTTTTTTTTTTTACTGTCTTATTATTTTTTTTAAGAACCAGTTTTTGATCCAATATTTATGCTACGCAGATGCGTAACAGCGCATTTTTAGAGTTTTGTCCATCCATAAATGAAACTGAACAGGAGGCACTGTCCAAACCATTTCCATAAATGCCATATAATGCCTGTGGACTTTGCATGCTCTCCCATGGGCTTTTCTGTGCTGTGATTTCCAAGAACGTGCAGTTTGGCTAAATGGAGTCCCGTACATGACCGTAGTCTGTGTGCACATGCCCTGTGACGGATTGCTATCTCACCCAGTGTGTTTTTTGCCCTGTGCTCCCTAGAATGGTCTCTGCATTAATTGGAGTTACTCAGTAAACAGTAATCACCATATGATCTCCCTTTTGGCTGTTTTGCTCAGTTCTGTAAATCTTACTGTATGACACTGATTTCCTGTATATGAAGAATCTGTTGATATTTTCCCAGTGTTGTGCTGCATAGTTTCTGACATAAAGCCCTATGTTGTACAGACGTCACAGACATCTTTATGCTCAGGATTTGTATGCAAGCCTCTTGATAGTGATCATTTTTATTAACATCTTTACAAACATCAACATCTAAACTTCCCTACATACCAGCACACAGATGGTAAATTGTATCTTTAAGATGAGGATTTCATCATTGTCATTTATTTTTGACAAAGTGCCCTTCTATGTAATTTGATATTAAGGCAAGAACATGACCCTTCCTCTGTGATAAAGTTAATCTTCATTACAACAACTACCCTTTTTCAATTACTACACAAAGAGGAACAGCCAGCTTGTATTTTTTATGTACACCTCTTAGTCGGTGCCAAGAAAATCACATGTAATAACGGAACATGAGTAGTAACAGTCAGATATGTGATAACAGGACAGAACATGAAATCCTGCACTTTTGCAAGCAAACAGCCGAAAGCATTCAGTAGCGTTTTGCCATTCGTTCTTTGGAACATTGAATATTAAGCCTATTTGATGGGAAATATGACCCAATTTTGGTGAAAAGTATCTCACAAAAGTATCCTGAAATACTTTTTTTTCCCCAGTGGGCCATTTACGCTGAGGGAATCCCCGTCTGTTTCAGGCTTGTCTCGTTTTTGTTTTGAATCTGCATTAACATGAGAAGATGGACAATAAGAACAAAGTGAGTGTAGGAGAGCAAAATGGCTAGCACTTGTTGATTATTTCCAACTAGGGTTGCAAAGGGGTGGAAAAGTTTTAGAAAGTTCCCATGCAAAGAAATTTTACGATTTGGGCAATTTATAATACAATTTCCACATTACTTGGCAAAGTTTTGACTAAGCAAGGCCTTTGAAATGGAGGAGGAATTCAGCAGTCATCCAAGCACATCTCGACCTCAGCAGGGAAGGGTCTTTACTCAACCAAGGTCTGGTCACCAGCTGGAGCATAAATCTCACAAATCCAACATCAGCTGCCTCTGAGCACAGCTGGTCTCCCTTTGGTAGTGGGTTAATGTTCAATAAAGTAAATCTCTTCAAAATTATTCTTTTTCTATTATTGAACTGTATTTGTTTACAATATTTTTTTTTCTTTGACAACCGTTCATATACAGGAAAATCTAAATTTCCAATAATTCCCATAAATCCCCAAAAATTCTCTTGGAAAGTTTCCTTCTCTAAAATGTCCCAGAAAATGTATCCCTATTTCCAAAATTACATCTCAAAACATGTCCTACTGTACACACAACCCAAAGCTAAAATCGGAGTATATGGCTTCATGTTATTTCGATTCCCCATGTTAATCTCCTGAAGAAGGATGTATAGCCTGGACATGTTAATCTGTCAATTTCC